GGCAACTCAAGAAGATAAAGTCAAGTATTATAAAGAAATGTACAAGGACCTGGAGTTAGAAAACCAAAAGGGAAGAACATGCTCAGCATTTCTCAAGCTGAAAGAACCGAAGAGAAAATTCAAACTTCAACTTGAAATATTTAAGGATTCTATGGACAAAATATTGAATGATGCACAAAGTATCAAAAGAAGATGAAAGGAATACATACAGTCACTATACCAAAAAGAAATGGTCAATGCTCAACCATTTCAAGAGGTAACATATGATCAAGAGCCAATGATCCTGAAGAAAGAAGTTCAAGGTGCACTGAAGGCATTGGCAAAGAACAAGGCTCTAGGAATTGATAGAATGAAAAATGAAATCTTTTAGCAAACTGTGATGCAGCATTAGAAGTACTCACTCATCTATGCCAAGAAATTTGGAAGCGAGCTACCTAACCAATTGATTGGAAGAGATCCATATTTGTGCCCATTCCAAAGAGAGGTGACCAAACAGAATGTGGAAATCACCATTATTATCACATGCAAGTAAAATTCTGCTAAAGATGATTCAAAAACAGATGTAGCAGTACATTGAAAGGTAACTACCACATATTTAAGCCAGATTCAGAAGAGGATGTGGAACCAGGGATATCGTTGCTGATATCACATGGATCTTGGCTAAAAGCAGAGAATACAAGAAAGATGGTTATCTGTGCTATTGACTACACAACGGCTATCGTTACTGTGGATCATGAGAAGCTAGGGACAACATTAGGCAGAATGAGTATTCCGGAACACTTAATTGTGCTCATGAGGAACATGTACATAGACCAAGAGGCAGCTGTTCCAACAGAACAAGGGAACAATGAATGGTTTAAAATCAGGAAAAGTGTGAGCCAGGATTGTATGCTTTCACCATACTTATTCAATCTGTATGCTGAGCAAATAATCCGAGAAACTGTATTATATGAAGAATGCGGCATCAGGATTGGAGAAAGACTCATTAACAACCTGTGCTATGCAGGTGATACAGCCTAGCGACTAAAAGCAAAGACAACTTAAAATACTTACCGATGAAGATCAAAGACTACAGCTTTCAGTATGGGTTGTACCTCATTATAAAGAAAACAAAAATCCTCACCACTGTAACAATAAACAACATCAAGATAAATGAAGAAAAGACTGAAGTTGTCAAAGACTTTTGTCCAGATCAAGTATCAACACTCATGGAAGCAGCAGTGAATAAATCAAACGACATATTGCATTAGGCAAATCTGCTGCACAAAACCTCTTTAAAGTGTTTAGGAACAAAGATGTCAGTTTGAGGACTAAGGTGTGTTTTCAATAACCTCGTATGTATGTGAAAGCTGGACAGTGAATAATAAAGACTACAGAAGAATCAATGCATTTGAGTCATGGTGTTAAAAATACCATGGACCGCCAGAAAAACAAACAAATCTGTATTGGAAGAAGTACAAGCAGAATGCTCCTTGGAAGCCAGGATGGCTAGACTCTGTCATACTTCAGACATATTATCAGGAGGGGTCAGTCCCTAGAGAAAGACAGCATGCTTGTTAAAGTGAAGAGTCTGTGTCAGTGAAAAAAGAGGGAGGCCTCCAATGCGATGGATTGGCATAGTGGCAGCAATAATGGGCTCAAGCGTACCAAAGTTTGTGATTGGCGCAGCAGGATCATGCAGTGTTTTGTTCTGTTATGTCTAAGTTCGCTATGAGTTGTTACAGACTCGACGGCACCTAAATATAACAACATGGAAGGGGAGATTATAGGTGTAAATGGAATTAAGTTTACCAATCTACTGACCTTGAGAACATTCTGGATTATCTAGGTGGGCCCATTGTAATCACATGGGTCCTATAAATGAAAGAAGTAGTCAAGTAAGTAAGAGTCATGCAATCTGAGAAAGACTCAACCTGCCATTGCTCATTTTGAATATGGAAAGGGGCCTCAAGTCAACACATGTGGATGCCACAAGAAGCTGAAAAAGACAAGGAAACATCACTGGAACACCTAAAAGGAATGCAGTCCTGTTGACCTGATACCTCAATTTTAACCCGGTGAAAACATTTCAGACTTCTGACTTCCAGTACTACAAGGTCATAAATTTATGTTGTTTTAAGCCATCGGATTTATAGCTATTTGTTACAGGCTCTGCAGGAATTGACACAGTCCCCACACCCAGCCAACAACTGCTCACTTCAACCCCTCCTCTGTAGCCATTTGGTCTGGGCATATTGGTACCACTGCCATCTCCCAAGCTCAAAATAACTCAGCTAACCAAGCATTGCTTTGTCTCTAACGAAGAACTGTATTGAGAACTACACCTATAAAACAGTTGTTCAATAGTAATTTTTTTCATGCTCATTAAGGTAAAACATTCCTAGAAAAAGTCAAACAATTGATTCTTGCTTCATCTGTACTGACATGACCGATGTGGCAAGCCTGATAATAGATCCAAAGATGGGAGAAGAAATACTTTTTCTTTTAGCAGTTCCCTTTCCATTTCCTTGTTTTCAGAACTTAAAGCTGTAGGGAACATGGACCCAGCAGAAAAATAAAACAGCACTTCCTACTTGTCCATTCTGCTGAGAGAGGGCATTGGCTGGGGGCCCTATCACAGGGCCCCCAGTAAGATATGCAACTCCTCTACTCTTAGCCACAAGGTTTGATCAGAGGGGTCAGCTATGAATCGAAGGATGAATGAGAAGGACACTGTGCTCAAGTGCCTCATCAAAAAGAAATCTTACCTCTATAATCAAAGGTGACAACATGGTAACCAAGTGAACTCAGCACCTGTGAAGTGAAAAATAAACATTTCTGGCAACAAATACGATCATCACTGATGAAGGCAACTTTGTCATGGACTAAAGTCACCAGAGTTTTTGTTTTGGTGCCTTGCACCCAGGGAAGGAAGCTTAATGGTGATCTTCTGACTGGGGGGACTTTAAACACTCCAGCAAGAAGGGCCGAGATCCAGCAGGAGGAGGAACTTCAGAGTGCAGATTCTTTACTGAAATACAACATTTCTCATATTTTAAGCTTTCACGGAGCTTTTTTCTTGCTTTGCCTTAACTTAGATCACCACTCCCATCCCTCACTAACAGAATCAGAATGTGGGAGGTAGGAGTCACCCAAAAGAACCCACTACGTATGCCTACACCAGGGTGCTGAGAAATATAAATGCAAGCTGCACCACCAGTCTGTGCTTGCTGCATTATGCTCCCCTCCTTAGGAAGCACAAAAGGCCACCTCCCACAGCCATTTTGTGTCCATGTTTCTTTTTCCATCACACTGTGTGTTCCTTATATCACACACAAAGTCACAAAATCTATAAATAATGTCCTCTCAACTATGGATTGTTGAGAATAAGAGGAAGTGCACACTCTCATGTTGCTGTTGTCATGTGTTGTCGAGTTGGTTCCAACTCACAGTGACCCTGTAGAGGGTTTCTGAAGCCATACATTTTTACAGCAGAAAGTCTCATCTTTCCCCTGTGGAGTGACTAGTGAATCTGAATCGCCACCCCTGTAGTTAACAGCCCAATGCATAACCCACTATGCTACCAGGGCTCCATGTTGTTGTTGTGAAGTGCCATCGAGTCGGTTCCGACCCATAGCGACCCTGTATAGGGTTTCCCAGGAGCAGCTGGTGAGCTTGAACCGCCGACCTTGCAGTTCAAACGGCTTTGCAGTCTGGCACCACCCCGGGACTCCCTCTAATGGATGGGTGGGGTAAAAAGGTGGAGAGACTGCAATGACTGGCCTGCCAGGTCTGTTTCTTTTAAGTCATCTGATCAGGAACAGAGACATCTATTCTGTTGGACTCAGCCCAAACCATTCTCCCTAAAAGGCTCTGGTTTCAGTCTTTGTAGTGGGTGCTACAATCATTCTAATGCATTCCTGGAGAGCATGATGGCCATGGCTACACAAACCCCACTCCCATGTCCTTCCCTGGTGGTCAGGAAGCAACAAGCAGGGCTGAACTGTCCATCAAAGAACCCACACAGAGGATCTACTCCATTGCTGGGTACATGGAAGCACTCTGTACCTAGCATCTTCTTTCATTTTTAAGATTTTATTGTGAATTGAGCAATCATATACATGAGAAAACATCAGCTTTACATTCATCCTATCATATTTCGTTTCATTGCAATCTCCTCCATACATCATCATTCAACAGCATTTGCTTTCATTCCCTCTAGGGTTTTTTTGGATGTACACCGAAGCACTCAAGAATATATAACCATTAAATAACCAAATTGCAAGCCTGCCCTCTGGCCACCAACACACAGCCCCTATCCCTCCCTGAGTCCAGAGTCCCCAGCTGTTCCATCTCTCCACGTCACCATCTCTGCCTCCATCTCTGGTGTCTATACCTAGCTTCTTATAAGACTTTCTGGGACCATGAAGGCATTCACTCCCCAGCCCTAATATGCTATAATGTACTAAATTCCAGGGGGGAAAGCCCTCCAACAGTCTACACCTACAACATACCCACATATCTGCTTGTGTTCTTTCCTGCCCTGCTAGCAAATACAGCTGTCCATTTAAGAAAAGTATGAAGGAGACAAGCATGGTTGACTCTGCTATAGAAACACCCCTGAGGATGAGCAGAGCTAACCAGAAGCTGTTGAGGTGCCACCCTGCATCTGGGAAATCCTGTTGGCATACCCACTGAGTATGCCAGGAGTGTCTGAGAGCATGCCATATTCGATGTGGGGAATGTCTATGCCAGCTCATCTGTGACCCTCAATAGCAATGTAGAAAAGCTCCTTGACCACAGAGCTTTCTTTATCCTTCATGCTTATGCATAACATAACACTTAAAGGCACTTTAAACACATTTTAGATAATTTGTCAATATCTAGAATAGGATCTACAAAATAAACACACATAATTTTTGAAAAGTACCCTTTAAGACAGCACTGTGGGAAGCATTTTAAGGTAGAGTCTACTAACTGGGATACTACCTTGCAGCATTTCCGTAAAAGTCCATGACCAACTTCCAAAACGATAACTTGCTTCTGTTCAAGCCTCCTAAAATGATAGCCCGTAAGCAGCACAAGGAGACTGTGTCACCCTGTGCCTGTGTCATCTTACGTTTACACCTTACCTTGTATAGCTCCACACGGTGGTCCCCTCCCCTGGAATGTCAAGGGAGAAGAAAATAAGGAAATAGGTATTAGTACAACTTCTCAAATGGTCAGGCCCAGAGTCACACTGTGACTTGGTTCCCAAATTTCATACTAGGGTGTGTCAATGTAGACAAATGATTCTCTCCTCATGTAAGATGATGCAGGCCCAGCTTTGCCTCTGGCAATACTATGCCAAACAAGGGGCAGTTTTAGCACTTTGGGAAGATTTCTTAAGTAAACTCTTAAACTTTATTTTTTTAATACTTCACTCATGATATAGCACAGAATTCAATAGATACAAAAAGATACATAGCAAGTCTGCCACTTAAATCTAACCAACCTCAGTTTCCTGTGCACATAGAGACCATCTGGGCACAAAGAAACCACACACATGGGCCATACCATGTGCACCTTCTACAGCCTGTTCTTTTCACTTAAAAAATGCCGGCCCAACCCCAGTACACTCTTTAGCTTGTTCTTATTGCAAGTTTGCTTTTGTTCCTGCCTCCCACCTACTGTTAATCTAAGTGCTGCTGCAGTGACCACTAGCACTTGCGTCCTCTCTCACACATGTACACCATAGCACCTTTCTGGATATACAACTATTATCTTGGTCAAACCGTTCTTCACAAAGGTTCTAGCCTATCAGCAGTGTATAAGAATACCCACTGAAACCCTAAGATCAGTTTCAATGGGTATGCCTTATTGTAGAGGTTGAACATTCCTTCTCACAAATAAATTATTTCTCTGTACAAGAACTGTCTATAACCTCTTCCCATTTTCCTATCATGTTGTTGACCTTCTTCTTATTGTAGATACACATCAAAATAGGAACAGGGGTTACTTTGGGAGAAGAAAGCATCACTGGCAGATGGGTGGCATGCTGAGGAATCTTTCACTCTCTTTATACTTGTTGAGTTGTTTTGCTTTTTATAAGGAACATTTAACCAATTTAGGTATGTATAGCAGGTGAGGGAGGCTTCTGAGGGGAGACAAGGAAGACATAAAAGAGGAAAACCAAAGTAATACAGAAATAAAGAAAACAAAGAAATGAGTTCAAACCAGGGAATACCACAGCAAAAGTTTTCAACTATCTCTGGAAGAATTCCTGGGGATTTAAAAAAAAATGTCCATACTACCTACAGAGGGGTACAGAGTGTGCACAATGGTGGCAGCATCCCAAAGAGTGTGGGTCTTAGAAACAGAAGAGAAGGGTCAGTCAGAAAGGTACAATCTGTGGATCACCTTTCTTTGGAATAGGTACAAACATGGATCTTTTCCTCATGCTTTTCCATATTGTTAAGCTGTCCATCACTTATTAGAATGTATTTTAAGTAGGACCATCCTGTCATCTGTACTAACTCAACAGCACTAAACCTTGTGATCCACACGAGCTATACGAAAAACCTGGCCATCCTTAAGATTCCATGTCAGTGTCAAACATTCTGGTTTCTAGACTCCAGACCTGTCACATCTGACACCTCTCATAGCCCCGAAAGGCCCAGTGAGGCAAAGACACAGGCAAGGGCACTGTGCTGGGGAAGGCTGACACACAGGACAAAAGAAGCCTGCAGTCTCTGGAGGAAGGAACAGGGAACCTCTGATAGTCACAACATCCCTTTGAGCCTGAAAGTGTAGCAGGTTTAGTCTTTTGTACCATGTGACTGGCACTGCTTCATTGAACTTCATTCACAATTAACCCACTGTCATACAGTCTATTCTGACTCAGAGTAACCATGGAGAGGGTTTCTGAGGCTGTAAACTTTTAAGGGAGCAGAAAACCGCATCATTCACGATAAACGGTAAAAATTTCTCATTTAGAATGTCAAAGAGAATTTGGTAGCAGATATCTTGCTTTGATTTGGGAGTTTTCTTACTCACAAATCATATATTCCTTTTAATGACATCCCTGGCCCACTAATCTGCCAGCAGCCTTTTCTCACTCAAAGTTGCAAGTCCTCTCTTCCATATTCAAAGCCAGGTTTGAATCTCAAAAGATATGGCTGGGTGACAAGACCGGTCACAGATCACCATGTTATCTGTATCTTTTGGTAACAGAAAAAAGAGGGTAGGGTTTAATCAAACATGTTATACTTAGTCAATGAACAATCTTCTATATTTCTCCCTCCACTGTATACGCTCCATTGTACCTAACTTTGTACCTAACATTGTACCTAACATTATACCTCCATTTTACACACTGCATTGTACGTAACTTCTTTGAGCCATTTGCTTTTTCTGAAATCAAAATGGTCTTTCTATATGCATACCGAATAACTGCTTGGGATATATTTTATGTTCAAATTTTGGTGAGTTTTGATTACTTTTAACAATAGCAAGATATCACCAGCGTGGCTGTAGCCACTTGCTCTTTGAAAAGCAGAAGAGAAACCACAGAAACCTGGTCCAAATACAAAAGGAATTTATGAAGTGTACAACTGGTCTGCCTATCAGTACCATACCCTGCGCTTTGCCCTTGCCCTCCAGGGTGTGCCTGGGTTTTCTGTGGTGCCCTCCTCTACCACAAAACACCCGCAGCGCATACTGCTCCCCTCCAGGAAGGCCCAGGCATGGCTCGCTTGACTGTTCTGCCTACGGACACCTGCCAATCTGGCCTACCCTAACCATGCCCCATGATGACTCCTTCCTTGTTCTCATATATAACCTATAAAGCACACAGCATCAGTGACCTAGGCTGTTTTTCAAGCAAAGCTTTCCTCAGAATATACACCTCCACCCCTCAACTTCCATTCTCCCTTCGTCCTGACCACCAAGTGTTCCCACATGGTGTGATGTCTTTAAAGTAGGGGTAATCGTTCAAATTCAAGCCAGTTTGAAGAAAGTGTCATTAAAACCACTAATAAAAACCTTTAGAAAAAATTGGACAAAGCCTTCTGTAAACAACTCATTAGGGTGCAAACAACTCATTAGGGTGCACTGACATTGTTAGTTTCATATGCAACACAAATAATTCATAATGTTCACCCTGACCACATGATGGGAGACAAGAGTCTGAAAGGATTAACTTATTATGAGTGCTCAGTTGTGATCTCTTCATTGGCTTCCCTCTGTCTACAACCACCCTTCTTCTGAGAAAACTACTGCTCTCTCTTTTGTCTTTGCTCTTCACTGTCTGGTCTTTTCGTCCCCGTACCTGTAGGACTGTACTGGCTCAGGTTTCACCTGTCTGTACACTGGAGCCATCACAGAGGTAAATGCTATCTAAAACCAGTTACGCCATAAGAAAGTGAAAATCTGCCCTGCATTCATCAACCTGGGATGGCAGACCAGTTGTAAAGTTCACTGGAGATCACATTTCCCAAAGGACATGTGGAGCTATGAAGTGAATCATTATAATCTCTGCTCCCAGTGACTACTGCTTTCTTAACTCACTGGGAAACCTTGTTCCCTAAAAGCACAAAGTGCTTGCTGGTGAAAATTACATAGGCAAAAAGAAAACATCCACTTAAGCCTAAGAGCAAGCACAATTCCAACCTCAGTACAGACCTTGAGACATGGGGTTTCTGGATGAAATTTCCTACATCTATCTAGCATTGTGGTTTCCAAGAAAGCAGGACCTGGGTCCACTTGTGGACTAGACCTGATGCTGAGTCACTGGAAACACTGCTTCAATTAAATTTCATATAAATACCCCCACCCTCAAATCCTGGAATCATGCTGCTCTTTCCTTTGTTTCTGAGATGCCATTATGCACATTCCCTTATTCAATAGGTCAATAACCTAATTCTGTGAAACTGCAGGTTTGCTCCTGGTGGTATTAGCTGACTGAACTAACATCCCCAGCCCCAAAAAGGAGCTCTGCAGTGCAGAAAGTTGCACCCATGTAGATTCTCACCTGCTGTCTCCCATTCCTCACCTGGTGCCTGCGTTTCCATGCAGGTACAGAATGATAGGGTGGTTAGAAGCCAAGGCATCCTCATACCACATCTGGTCCTTTCCTTGGGCATTCTTCCACCATACAGCTGGGACTGTATGCCTGGAAACAGAAGCAGAGGCAAGGAGCACAATTACATGTTCTTTCTGCACTCAACCAGACTGTATCTGTAATGAGCACTGTGGATTAATGGCGCTGGACTGCAACACCAGTATAAACTGCAAGGTCGGTGGTTCAAAGTCACCAGTCCCTCCTTGGAAACTCTGTACAGGGTTGCTATGAGTCAGAATTGACTCAATGGCACTTAACAACAACAAGCAGGAGTCCTAGTGTAGCGCTACAGGGTAATGCACTGGGCTGCAAGGTCGGCATTTCAAATCCACCAGTCGCTTCTCAGAAACCCTATAAGTTGGAACCGACTCAATAACAATTAACAAAAAAAAAACAAACAAAGCAGAGAGTCCGGCACTGTAGGATAAGTAAGACTGCTAAACAAAAAGCCAGTGGTTCAAATATACCAGTTACTCCTCAGAAACCCTATACAGAGTTGCTAAGAGTTAGAATCGACAGAACTTTAATAATAATCAGAGAGCAGCAAACACAGGCTATCCAATAGAACAGTTCAATGGGCTACACATTGTCCCAGTTCCTAAAACAACTGACTATGTAACTTCGACCTGCAAGGATGACATATGACATCTTAAGTAGGAGTTCTGTAACAAAAACGGGAGAGTAGTCAATCTTACAGTCCAGAAACAGATGACTTTAGGACCATGAAGGGAGAAGAGCACAAGAATAATGCAGTCCAGAGAAGCAGTAACACCAGAGATGGAGGCAGAATTGAGGACATGGAGAGAGGGACCGAGGACTCTAGAGTTATGGAAAGAGAGGGACTGAGAGCTGGCGGCCAGGAGGCAGACTTACAGAATGTGTCCTTTGGTGGTTTAAATTATTATATATGCCTGAGTGTTTTTAAAAAATGAGCTAAAAGAGAACAAACAAGATGGCGGATCGGGTGGACGTATAGCAGAGAGATCCGCCAACAACAACACAGAATACCCGACCAAGCAGGCTCAGGGGCTGGTCCCAGAACTCTGAACCACATATAAAGGAATACTTAGAAGGTTGGAAGGCTCACAGCT